CAGATGCCTTTCACTCAGTGCCAGAAGCAGCTTTAGTGACTGGAGTTGCTATTTACCCAACATCTCCTGCAGATTTGGGTCAAGTCCCTTGGGTGTACATCAATCAATCTTCTTTGCTGTGATATTCTTTGGATTGATAGTTTTGTCATAATTTGTCATATCAACACTAAGTGCATGTTCATTAGCCAAATTGGCTTTCTGAAAGGCATTCAGCAGTGCAAATTAGCTTCAGGCTTGTTGTGTGCAGTTGTTTTGATCTATTTTAAATTATATGGGTGGGGGTTGCCTTTGGTAATTCTACCAACTAAGGACTTTGTTGACAAAGCATATCCTGATTCTCCACCAGTCAAACCACCGCAAGAGCTGCAATCCTTCATGGCTGCTCAAATGGTATCCACTCCTGTGAGGAATACACATGCATCTTTGGTAGACTCCACTGTGTCCCTCAAGAAGACAAAGAAGAACACCTTGAATGATCAAACCCTTGAGCATTTGGTCAAACTTTTGGAGAAGGCCAAGCAAATGGATCAGTCTTCTTCCTTTGCAAATGTGCATCCCCATGAAACACAGGCCAAGCAAAGCAGCATTGCTGAATTGGGGAATTTGTCTTTCCTGCCAACACTGAGCAGAAGCAGTTCATCTTTGTCTGTTGTGGCATCCCCACAGAATGCCAGTGAGCAACCTGCAGCAGAGCCTGCAAAAGCAGAAGATGAGAAGCCAAGTGCTGGTCCCAGTGTCCAGCAAGAGCCAGATTATGAGAAGCAAGCATTTCAGCAGCTGCACTCTAAAATGAAGAGACCAGTTCTCAAAAGACCTAGTGCCTGTGTCACTACTGGCAGTGCCACAGCTGGTCAGAGTCATTCTTCATCTGCAGTGGCAGCCTCCAAAGCTGGGAGCAAGAAGCCCAGACTCACTTGTTGGGGCTGCATCAGATGCAGGGGAAATGTGCATGGATGTGATTCCTGTGCCTTTGAGGGCTTTGGTGGAATGAGGTTGAATGGTAGAGAACAGTGGCACAAGTACATGAAAGGCAAGGGTAAATAGCTATAGGGATGTAAATAGCTTAGCCATGGGAGAAACCTGTGGCAGGGGCCTCATGACTGCACAAGCAGCATGCTTTGTGCCAAGGGGTTGGAAAAAAGCAAAGATCACCCAGTGCATGTGCTGCACTGTTGTGTGTATCTTAAATGTGGTAACCCCTGTTGTGTGGCAACACAAGCTATGATTTCTTCCATCATCACATTAGCAATACTTTGCTTATCTAATCTTCACATTGCCCTTTAGCATCCATTAGCAATTACTTGCTGATCTCATGCTCACATTAGCCTTCCTTTGGCTTTTTGTCTATCACATTAGCTTGCGCAAGCTGCTTTGTCAATTAGCATTTTTTGCTTTGTTTCCATTTGTTTTGGATTGTTGGTATATATATCTCTTGGCCATCTGCCTTGTGCCTGTGGCAACACCCAAACACATTACAGGCTGCCTGGCTCACAAGGTACATAGCTTTCCTTTCTGCACAACTGCCTGGAGCCATGATCAATGAATATACCAACTGGGAGAGCAAAGATGTGAGGGTGCAGGTGGAGAAAGCAGGGAGTCAGAGGGTGATTGTGTTCATGAAGAAGGAACATGGTGGAGAGGAGCTAAAGTATGACTCTGTGCTCAAACCTGACTGGAAGTGGATGGAGCAGGTCCACCAGGCCCTTTGGGTTGAAATGCTGACGGTAATGGTTTAGTGACCCAGCCATTAGCATAAATGCTTTTTCACAAGTTCATAGTTTCTTGCTGTATTGATGCACATTCGCCACACTGGCTTCCTGTAGTTACTGTTCATGTTCCCCTCCTGGCAGGAAGCAGATGCTTTTGCAAAGCAACTTGCCTCAGATCATATGGGTCTTCCTCATATTTGGTTTCTTTTGTAAGCCTTTTGTGTTTGCAACCACTTGCAGGCACTGCAGGGAGGATCCACACCTGGCCAAGCTGTTCAAGAGCTACCAAGTGGTCCAAGGCAAAGACTGTGGACACTCAGTTCTTGGTGGAATCACCAGGTCCACAGACATATGTGTGGATCCCAATGCACAGCCTTAAGCTGTGTGAAAAAGTTGCGCCTGTTCTGCTGCTTTCCCTTCACAATTATGAAATGAATCTACATGAGCAACACTGGCCATATGGTCATGCTAGTTGGCTTCATTAGCACACTGGCTGTGAGCATTCAGCACATTGTCATTGGCAACAAATTTGCCACACTGTCTGTGAGTATGTAGCATGTTTTGTAAGTAACACATTAGCCACACTGGCTGTGAGCCTGTAGCAAGTTTGCATTGGCCACACATTAGCCACACTGGCTACAAGGACATGTAGCAAACATTCATTAGCCACACTGGCTATGTTCATGCTTTCCAGCCACATTAGCAACATTGCTAAGGGTCAATATATTGTTTGTGTACACGCAGCCTGTTGAGGCAGCTACACAATTCAATCAATGTTAGTGGTTGGTGTTTGAAGGCAACAAATTTGCTCCAGGACTGGTAGCCACAAAAACAAAAGACAAATACACACACATATATATATATATCAACAACAAGCCAATGCTTTACAGGTAAATTCACAATGTGCCCCCTGGAAGAACAATGCTGTCATGCCAAACAAACATGTAAGCAGCACACCATAAAACCATCAACATAGCTGAATGTCCATGTAGATTTCTACATGCCCATGCACAAACTGTTTTTGCAGCATGGCTAAGCCATGGCTGAGCCAAGGGCAAAATACAGCAAACTGCAAGAACTGAGGAAATCTATTCCTTTTACAAGCAAAAGCTCTTTGGCAGGTATCATTGGACACATCAGGGCTCAAGGTTTGCCTGATGGTGCCTCCTCCAAAGACATGAGGGCAGCCAACAGGCAGCAACTTGCTGCCTTCAATGGCTATGGCCCATTGCTGCAAGAAGAAGAGCTTGTGATGTTGGAAGGGGGGCCAATGTCCCTATCCTTTGTGAATTTCAGGCCTTTGCTGCATGGTGCATACAAGCACTGCCCTGGATTTCACCAACTGATGAAAACCACTTTGGATAGAGAGGTGCAACCATTGCACCTAATGGTATACGCTGGTGAGATTACACCAGGCAATGTCCTTTCCCATGCACCCAATCGCAAACTGTGGTGCATTTATGGTTCCTTTGAAGAATTCAAGCACCACTCTCTGTCTGAGAATGGCTGGATGACCCTTTGCCTCCTGAGATCTGACATTGCAAGCAAAGTTGATGGACATCTCAGCCAAATTCTCAAAATTCTTTTGGTTTCCATTTTTTGCAACAATAGTTGCATTGCTGATGTAGGCCTGCAACTTCAAGAACCTGATGGCACCCCTGCACCCAAAAGGCTGAGGTTCAACCTAGGGTGCTTCATCATGGATGGCCAGGCACAAAAACTGGCTTGGTCAAGCAAAGGAGACTCAGGCAGTCGCTTTTGTTTGCTTTGCAGCAATGTATTTCAAGCCCAAGTTTCTGGAGAGGAGGAGGATGAACTTGTGAGCGAAGTCAGCAAATACTGCAAGCATAGTGATTTGTGCTTGAACACAAACAATGACATCCTGGCTGCTTGGGACAGAATGTCCCACAGGGCTGCCTCTGGCATGGCAAGTGCTGAGTTTAAGCTTTGGGAGCAAGCTGCAGGCATCACCTGGTCAAGTCATTCTGTCCTTGCATGCATGCAGCTCAGGAGTATCATGCTGCCTGCTGATCAATTTTGCCATGATTGGATGCATGCTTTATTATCAAATGGAGTGCTATCAAAGGGCATTTTCTATGTGCTGCAGCAGCTTGATATGTGGACAATTGTCAAGGGATACATGGAGCAATGGCACCTTCCTCATGCTGTGAATAACCTCAAGCCTTCTGCCCTGTTTGAAGGAAAGAGGGTATCCAAGCACAAGAAGAGCAAGAAACTGAACAGCACCGCAAGTGAGCTTTTGACTATCCTACCTATCCTGGCACACTTTGTCAGGGTTGCTTGCCTTCCAACTGGCATGCACACTAAAGAGATCCAGGCTTTTTTGTACTTGGTGCAAGTTGTGGAGATGCTACATGTCTCTTCTCACACCACTGTGCAGCCTGCTGCTATTTTGGCAGCAGTGGAGAACTCTTTGAAGCAGTGGGTGGAGGTTGGGTGGCACATGCAGAGAAAAAACAAGATGGTGAGTCGACATGCAAGCATCATACATAACACAAGGAGTTTTGAAAGGAGTCTCTATGAAGAGGTGATCACCTATGAGTTGGAAAAGCTTCAGAAAGTTGATTGCTTTGCTACAGGTGTATATCTGCTGGAACCCAAAGCTTTGACCAAAAAGCTCATCCCCTTGGTCTCTTCAATTTGGAGCTTCTCGAAGGATACCTTGCAGAGCTTCAAAGCCATGGGTCAATATGGTTATTGTGCTAAAGGAGATGTGGTGCTTTTGCAAAGCGTCAGCTCCAAGTTTGATGCTGGTGAAGTCCTTTGCTTTTTTCACAGAATGGGGAAAACTTCGGTGTTGTGAAGAAGTTGCAACTTCAAGAGATGCAACAGCATCATGCACTGTGGCAAGAGGTTGATGAGTTGCTGGCAGTGCCTTTGCCTGCTTTGCTGGTTGCAGTACCCTTTGCCAAGGACCAGAGGGGTGTGACCACTCTCATTCCATGGCACCTGCGATGACAGCTTGTGGAAAAAAGTTGCTGACCTGTGCAAAGTTTTAGCACCATTGGCCAAGCAAGACTTGTCATGTTTCAAGTTATTCATTAGCCACTTGGCTCAACCAAGATGTGATGCAATTAGCCATTTGGCTCAACAAAACCATTCAAATTTAAATAGCAAATTTGTCGAAAAAAACCTTTAAAAGCTAATTTTTCTAACTAGTTATAAGTTTTTAGTAATTCCAACTTAATTAACTTAATTATGTTACATAGTTATAAAACCACAGCCCATCTAAGCATCATACAATCTAAACCAACCGAGCACACAAAACAATCAAATCACGTTTGGGTGGCGAGACCTTTGTACACTTTGGTTTGTCTTTCCTTCTGGAATATGCTGCTTATGGTGGGCCTGCTGCGTCACTGGCTCGGTGGTCGCCAGCAAACGACCACAAAAGTCGGTGAGATTCCTTGGCAGCTCGGTTGAAGAGGTCAAATGTCTCATGCATGTTTGCACTTTGTTCAGCTGAATCTCAAGAACTCACACGTTTGATCTTGAAGCACAATCATCAAACATCCAAGACTGAACTCATGCCAGTTTGAAGGTAGTCCTTACGTAAAAATGCGCCAAAGGCACAAGGTCTGGTGCTCGATGGACCCAAAGAACAGCAGTTTTTCATGTTTGGTTTCGAGAAACACTTTGTCATCGCGTCCCTGGCGTGGCTCGTAAGTCAGCTTCGCAAACACTCCATGAGTGGCATTGGAGATCCTCAGTCAGTTGGCTGAATCAGACTGAACTGTGTGATGCGATGGCGATGACGTGCTTTGTGTCACTGCCAGGGGAACTGGCCAAACTTCTTCATCCAAGCCGCTCAAACGTGATCGCTGTGGATGTTTGAGAAGGAAAGGACTGCTGGGTTCGTGTGCACTGGCCTAAGACAACTTTGTTTGGTGTAAGAAGCCTGCGTCGCGGAAGCGGGCTTGACGACGCGTGCTGCATATCTTCCATCCGCAATACCACAGCTCCAGCACAATCGATTACGTCAAAAGTCATCCCACGCTTGGGCTTTGAGGGAACCAAAAGGATGCATTCGCAACCATCTGGGACCACAAGATCTGGTGTGAAGTGCATTTCATCCTTGGCTGAATGGCTGCAAAATGTTGAGTCTTACTTACTGTCTTACTTCTATAATCATATACATGACACAGTTGCCATCAGTTGCAGCAAAACTTGCTTTATTTCATTTGATTTCACATTTGTTGACCAGTCTTGACATGTGTTGACCTCACCAAATTTCAAGCCACGCAGCCATCCCTTGCATTACAATCTGCGAGGCAGGATGGTGTTTGGCACTTCGCTCCTGCCAATGCACAATGTCTATGGTAATCTGCACCGGCTGGACACCCTTGCAGGCAAAAAACAAGGGGTGTGGTGTTCACATTGTGCACATAGCATGTGTCGCGCTCTGACATCATTGTCAGCTTGTCTTGTTGTCGTGTTCGAGCCTCAAACAAATACCCTTACGGCCCTTACGCCAGAAAATGTGGTATCCACATTTGGTTGGCATCGAGCTCTCTTCGGGAACTCCGCTAGTGTGCATCACAAGTAAAAGAGACTGGATGAGAAAGAAGTGCACGAGAGGAGCTGCGTTTCACATCGCCCAGCCTCCCAGCGCTGCATAATTGAAGCATACATAGCACCGGCCACCATCAAAGAGAAAACAAACACTGCAATGAGGAAATTGCCCCCGAAAAGAGCCGGATCCTGCACCACGCACGCTTGGACAGTGCCAAATAACCTTCCCGCACCCCCTAAGGCCCCAAAGGTTGCACTGATTGAGTTACTCTTCGTTGGGCAGCCAGTGATTTTCAAAGGATAGAAGTGATGGTTTACAAGCCAACCTTTGCTGCCGAACATTGTGAACATCACTCTGGAGCACTGGAAACCCTTGGCATCCTGCGACGCAAGTGTGGCAAGAATCATCAGTGACCTCTGGATGTCATTCTCATTATCTTCGATCATGGAGGCCTCGAAATGGCCCACGTGCAATCTGCAGCCGTGACCATCTTCCTACTGTTGCCCGACCTGGCTGACGGTGCCGTTGCAAGGTGGCCTCGAGGGCGTCCGAAAGGCCATGAACAAACCAACGATAAGCATCCACCAAAAGAGGTGAAGGCGCACAAATGTTTAAAACGTTGTACTCGTCATCCTTTGATCGGTTTTGCCAGGCTGCTCGGGGCAGCAAGTAGCCAAAGGAATTGCCACACAAACCCAAAGAACCAAAGGTCCTGGACTGGAGCACAGGTTTGATTTGTGATGTCTTGTGCGTTGTCAGTGAGCAAGCAGTCCAAGGTCCAAGGTCAAATAATGTTGGCAAAACATGTTGGTCTGCAAGCAACCTTGACGGCTCAACACTGTGATAGTTTTCCCTCACCTGATGAAAATTTCAGCATCGGAATAATTGGCAGAAATGTGGAGCGTAGTGCGTGGTAAAGTCCTTGGTCGCGCTTACAAGTAATGTGCGGCTCTTATTTGCAAAAGGGCCCGCCCTCCCGAGCAAACAATTGAGGGTTGAGGGTGAGTGAATAGAATCAACAACACCAAAAGGAGTAGTTACGTCGTCGTCGTCGTCGTCGTAGTAGTAGTAGTAGCAGTAGGAGTAGGAATAGGAGTAGCAGTAGTTGTTGTTGTCGTTGTTGTAGCAGTAGTAGTACTGGAGTAGTACTATAGTGGTAGTAGTCGTGGTAGTACGTGGTGGCAGCAGCAGCAGTAGTAGTAGTCGTCGTCGTGGCCGTAGTAGTTGTTGTAGTTGTAGTATTAGAGTAGTAGAGGAGTAGGAGTAGGAGTAGGAGTAGCAGTAGTAGTAGTAGCAATAGGAGTAGGAGTAGGAGTAGGAGTAGTAGCAGTAGCAGTAGCAGTAGCAGTAGCAGCAGCAGCAGCAGTAGGAGTAGTAGTAGTAGTAGTAGTGGATATTTTTCCTAGGTGTTTTTTATTTCCAAATTTAGAACACCTAAACAATTCGTACTATTCACTTCCCCTGGGCTTGTGCACTACCCCCTTGAAAAATTGTTTGGAGCAATGAAAATGTTCAGTTTTAATAAGCGTTTTGAAAAACGTTTGCAGGTCAAAATGCCATGTGACATGAATTCAAGCAACCCTCAGAAGAGTTAAGCAAGGATTTCAAAGGGCAACAATAGCAAAACAATAGAAGAGTAATTTTGGATCTTTTCCTAGGGCTCCAAGTTTACTTATTGATCACACCCCCTAACAATTCCAATTATTCACTTCCCCTGGGCTTGCGCACTACCCCCTTGAAAAATTGTTTGGAGCAATGAAATCGTTGAGTTGTATTGAGTGTTTTTGAAAACGAGTTCTAGGTCAGAATTCCATGAATCGAGCAAATCTCAGGAGAGTTAAGTAGTAAGGATTTAAAGGGATCAATCAGAACAATAGAAAACATAAACAAAACCAAAAAGACACCCTGTGGGCGAAACATATCACTCTTATTTCCGTGTTACAAAATGGGGTGGGGGGTCCTGCTTGAGATATATTAGATGTAAAACGGCGCAGTGTGACCCCCAATGTGTTGAAAAAAAGAGAGCCAGCTCTATAAAATGCATGTGTTGACCCTCAAACTTCTTATATATAAATTGACGCGGTTTGATACCATCAAGTTGACTGGCATGAAGAGGGTGTGATGTCTATGAAATTCACCGTCCTGACACCACATTCAACATCAAATAACACCAACTGCATGCCACAATGTTTTTCCACAATTGTTTGCTATAAAGTCACTCGTATTTACCATCGCTAATGGATATCTATAAAACCAACATGCTCTATAAAATCCTACGCAAGGAAGGTTTCTCTACAAAATCAACGTAGTGACCCTCTTTTTAAATAGATTAAAACAATTTATAACACATGTTGACCCTCTCCTTTTATAGAGAGGTATTGGAACATAGATCTCTGTATTATTCCGACCCATTCAGGGTGTGGGAATAATTTGGCGAATACTTACTATTTTTCAGTCCCATTTGGCAAATTTGGATGGAACATTGCGGATCACCAACATGCTCTGCACCAGTACAGTGCGAGCAGCACCATAGCCGTTCAGGATAAACAAGTGCAAACAAACGAATGAAGTGCAAACTGCCGCCACATATGGCACGTACCATCGGCGGTGTAACCAACAATACGTTTATGTTGTAAAACTTCTGCCAAACATACGAGAAAGATCGAGCAAGCAACAGCTTGTCAATGTCACATCTGATTGGAAACAAAGCAGCCTGGGAGGCAATAAGCAATAAGCAAGGCCGTTGACCATCAAGCCCGAGCAGTGGGGGCAAAGAGTTGGGTGGCTATTGCTCTTGTCAGTCAGCATTCCTTAACAAACACAATCAAATGCAGTATATGGATGCTCCCTTAAAATACCCCTAGTACCGTCGATACCCTCAGGATGTGTTCTTTAATATTCTGGCAGCGGTAGGGTGTAACCTCAGTAGTCGTAGTTCAAAATATTCCAAGGCCTGAGGCAGTTCTGGAATAATCAAATTGGATCTTAATCCAGAGAAGTTGAAGTTCATGATGTATGATGATATTATATGATATCAAATATCAAACATATTCCTGGTATGTCTTCACCCATGATGCAAAAACCGCTGTCGAGATCGCTTCGACGGGCGTCGAGATCGATCACAAAAAAAGGCCGCGCAGATCAAACCTTTTCAGTTTCGCAATTTCAAAAGCGCAGTAGACCCCCAGGAGGCAGTACGAAGGAGGATAAACAAAGTCGAATCTGCCTCTTGTGATCGTATCCGCCTCTTCTCACCACAGTTATTGTCTTTCTCTTTTCTAGTTTTTTTTTGCTTTTGCTTTGTTTCTGGCAAGTCCAGTCGACGTTTCATCCAAAACTATTCCAGGTACTGTATATCTCCAGCTCGATGTCTTTAGTAGTATGTATATTAATTATTCCAGGTATGTGGAAACCCTTGACAAAAAGTTCTCCGTCTCTGCCATGGATCTGACAAATCAGATCAGCAACATCCACAAAACATTCCAGGTATGTTGCCGGGGGGTATCATATAGGCTAAACATATTCCAGCAAAACTATTCTAGAAAAACATGTTCCAGTACCTGACTGACATCCCTACCTGGATTATTTAACTAAGGCACCCCTCATTCAAACATACAATGATTGGGTTTGGTGTCGGCGCTGCAGGTGGCCGTGCGATTCACATGTTGATTTTTTTGAATGTTGTGTGCCCTCAAACGGCTACGAACATGATGTTGCTTCCGGAAACGGCTGAAGCCGCAAGGATTGTGAGATTGTTTCGTGTGTACAGGAACTTGCTTTGGCCGCGATGGAGTGTGGGGCCAAAGTGTCGCCACTCGTTGTGATTGCCACCAGCATGATGCTGCTTGATTGGAACTTGCAGCGAACCTGACAGTAGGACAATTTGTTTCTATCTTGGGCTCTTAGCGAAAGTCGACTTGGAGGGCCTGCTTCAAGTCTGGAGGCACTTTCGCCCTTCCAAGCCGCAAGGAGAGCTGATGAAAGATTTGGGTCAAGGAGGTCCTTGATCTCTGCTGCCCTCCAACCCACCTGTACTACTTGCGGTCAACATGGCGCAAGGAGGTGGCGTTCCTGAGGTTGGAGCGAAAGCACCTGCTGTGACTGAGAAGGCTAGGCTTCAACTAACGTTGGCTGGGCCTGGGCCCGGCCTGGGGAAATGTTTCTGGTTGGTCCGAGGAGGCGTAGGTTCTTCTGCGCGGTTTCCTCATTTTCAGGACGCCAGCTTGACACAGGCGCCACCTGGCTGAGAAGTAGAAGTCAAGCCAAGGTTGCAGCCGCCAAACTTTCCAACATAGTTCCAAATTACATATATAAATGGCAGGCTTTTTCTGACCAGGCTCACCGTTAAGGGTGCAAGTGTTGCACAATTC